GTCCGTATTTTCTAGGACGTAAGCAGTAGATAGCGCGGAACGGGTGATTATGTGAACGAGCCATCAGCTGAAGAGAAACGTACACATGTGAGACGTGTGTCATTAGTTTTGGTACTTGGAGAGTTTGTTGGTTCATTAGCGATCCGAAATCATCTGACATAAATCTCGTATCAGGCAATCTTTAATTGTTCATGCCATTGTCATTTTTCCCACGCTTGCATCATAACATTCAGATTATAATTATTGTTATCTGTTATTATTATTGTGAGGCCACCCATAGTGAAAATACTTGCTAAATGTCAACCTGTTAAAAGACAAAGTGCAGGCAATAAATATGCCTAATGCTCGACAATTTTTACTCACTGACTAAATGTCTCTTGCCTAATTATTCGAATGAGTTAAACAAGTTTCTAAGTCACGCCTTTTTATAATGGAACTTTCTGAAAAAATATTGTATGGTATATCTCATCATGAGAATTCGTTTTTGAATGGTCTGCAAGTAGAATGCAGAGGGGTTAAACATACTTATTGTTCATGTCTTCCTTCCTTCCTGCTTCATTTAACTGCATAAAAATCCAGACAGGTTTCTGTAAACCCATTGAAAGGGACTCTCCTAACATATCAATTCAGGAATTTCTTATTTAAATGACAATAGATTTACTTATCGTATGTTTGAAATCTAAATTTTCGTTGAAAAACTCGAGTAGAATTTATTTTTGGGAACCGATTGAGTCCCGATTGGATTTTCCCAAATTCAAATGGGATCCCAAATGGGATACCCAAACGGTTCCCTATTGGAAATGTAACGCTTTCCTCACCTGGAACCCGGTAGGGAAAGCCCTAATTGAAAAATTTGGGGAAATTCCAAATGAATTTTGTCTAACCTCAAATTTTCTTCTTCATGTATTAAAGATAACTCCCGATTTTTTTCACGAAATCTTCTGACACGTAAACGTGTTCACGACGTCCTTCTTGCGATGAATAATTTGTTGGTATAGTACATAAATAAGTTGTTGAGAATATCGATGTTGATATACGAAAAAAAAAAGGGGTATGTCTAAATTGTTTTGTAAACTACTAGTAGTTATACTGGTCACGAACGCACGCTACCCCCACTTGCTATTCAAAATGTTTTCTTGGGTTACAATAAAAATAAGTCTAAGATATAGTTAGGGAAATTCCGATTGGGACGCAATAAATACTTTCCAATAAATGGCTAACTGTTACATGAAAGTATAAAAATAATTATTAATAGGATACAGTAAATAAAACAACTATTTATTATTTATACATTAAATTGGGCAAAGTTTGGGATTGCCCTAAAATACGCAGATCAAAATTCATTGGGTATAGGTGG